TCTCTCTCTCTCTCTCTCTCTCTCTCTCTCTCTCTCTCTCTCTCTCTGTCTCTCTCTCTGAATATTCACACGCGAGGCGGAACATCAGATCTATTAAATGGCTTGATGGATGTGCTGCGGTTAATTGGGTGTCATGTTGGTGCAGATGCTGTCTCAGTTTACCTGTTTGGCCGCCCTCACCACGCTTTGGAGCGAACTCCACTGCGAAACATCTCCGTCTCAACAAAGCTTCTGACCCCTTTAAATCTCATTTTCTCATCAGACCCGACAGAGAAACGAGGTTATGTTCTAAACGGACGAATCCAACGTCACTCTCTTGGTTTCAGCGCCGTCATCTGTCTTCGTGTTTCTCAGGGCAGAGATGCCGTTTTTGGAAGATTCAAACCCAATGGAAAAAATATTTATTATTTTCATGTTTTAAAAATGTGAAATGAAACATTTCAGATATTTGACCATCAAACAGTCGATTCAGAAATAAATAAATAAAAAAACACAAACGGAGGCAATAAATAGTCTGACCTCTCTATCCCTTACAATAATGATATATATATTTTTTGTATCAACTCTTTTTCAGAACAGAGGTTGTTGTCTTTATTCTTCAGCTGTAAAAAATAATATTTGGAGTCACAATTAGATCATGAGTGTTCAAATTTGGGGAAACTCCACTGTGTGTAATTTAAATTTTACATTTTTTACAGATGATTGTTGTGTGAGGAGCTGTGTCTGCATGCACAGGAAGCTCAGATGCTTAATCTAAAAAAAAAAAATCAAATAATACCTAATCAGGTGATATTTCAATATTTGTCAAAAAGCTGGTTTTTAACTGTGTTTTCTCTGTTTGACTTATGTGTGTGTGCTGACAGATTTCTAAGGGTCCTCGTCCTTAACCTGAACCTGTCGTTTGGGTTGAGGCAGAGCACCCTCCACACGTTCAAGATTGTTCATTGAAATATGGAGAAAAACAAAAAAAACAAACAGAGAGGGACATGAGATGATGGTAATTGATGATTTAGATTCTGTCCGCGAGTCACGTTCACTGTTTGCTCTTCTTAGTGCCGCTTCATTCAATGTCCACAGTGCATCAGCCAGAGCTTCCTGTGCAGCGACGCACTGTATGCGTGTGTGTTTGCCGCTTCCAGAGAGCTACATGTCAGACTCATCAGACCTGGAACTGAACTCACAGCCAAAGTTGAGTATAGCAGTCTAAACATTTCTTGTTTATTTGAAAAAAAGGAAAAAGTCAAATTGTGTCTCCAGGATTGTTGTCTTATTATCTAAAGACAACATCATGTCCGCCATTACCACTATTACTAACAACACAATTTGGAAACAGATGTTGTAGTTGTTTTAGTTAATGAACTAAGACAGGGCACTGAACATACCATGATTTATTTTTTATTATTTTTAGGAATATCTTTCCTTCAGGAATTGATCAAAGCCTGTGAAAGACTTCTAGGAGAAGGTCAGGGAGGTCACGGAGGGTGAACGTCAGAGGACAAGCTAGCGAAGCGTTTTCTATGCGGTCAAACGATTCAGTGCTACCGAAAACCGGAAAAACACGCTTAATAAAGCTGGAAACAGCTTCGCATCCTCTTTGAATAACTCACATTGCCACTGCGACCGCCTGCTTATTTGTCACAATGACACGTCCAAAGTTCCCCGTCGGTCCGCCTGTCATCCAGGGAGCTTTGCATTGTGGGTGTTTCAGTGTCGAATGGAAGGAGAATAACACTGTTTTTACTAGTGCTAGAGTTGGACTAATAGAGGGCGCCGGCGCCCCTGAACCAGCAGCGACACATGTGGCCTTTTATCCTTGATAACACGACTTACTATGTGGAATTGATTCCTCTACAAAAGCACAAACACCTATTGAGAAAGAACATATCATTAGGACGCAGGTTATTGCAAGTTGGGAAATAATGAAATACAGTACATTTTCTTCAGTCATAGCAGGATACAAGCTTTCTTAGGTGGTTGTCCAGTGTGCACAAGCGGGCTTCTGCAAATCCAGTGGAAATCCTGTCACTTGTGTGAATTTAAGAATGAGTTCATATGATATTAGATGTTTGCGGGAGATTTTTCGTCCAACTGTGAGGGCAAATTAAATGCCGGGTTGAATTTTAGCATGCAACCAGGAAGTGATAGCACCTGTAGCCTCGGTGTGGTTTGCACTGCGGCTAATTACTGAAGTTAACAACGGGGGTAAGTCACGCCTGTAGCTGAATTCAATAAACGTCTTTCATTAGTTGATGGACTTAGGCGTTATGAACATTACAACAGGGACTTTTTTTGTTACGCCACTGTTTTCGTTTTGGCTTGGTTAAAGCTGCAGTCGGTAACTCCCTTTTTGTTACATTTGCTAAAGGTGTCGCTGTATGCCGACATGAGTACATGAGACGGATAATCAGTGAAAGAACGGTGTTCCTCTTCCTCCTCTAGTGCTCCTGATGGCATTTGCAACATTCTACTGCGCCCGAAGGAAAACAACCAATCAGAGCCGAGGTGTCTCTAACGAGAAGATCGTGAACTCCGATCAAATTTTCAAACTAGGCAGTGCAGATCAAATATGAATCAAGATTCTGTCACTGTATTGCTTATTTACCGCTTTAAATGTTTTCAGAAACACATTTTAGTTTACTCTTTAGCTGTAACATGACAGCGTTTGTGACCCGGCCGCCATGTTAAAAAGAAATAATAGTCGAGCCGAAACCAAGCACCGCCCCACCGACCGGAGCAAATGTTCTTGTTTTCCAGCTAAGACAGCACACAAGATTTGAGGCGGGAAGTCAGTTTGACCGGAATTCATGAGCTTCGAGAGTCCTCGACTCTGATTGGTCATTTTTCTTCGGGGCGGGGTGGAATCTTGACTAGAGCACTAAGAGGAAGCAGAGGAACCTGATTCTTTCACAGATTATCTGTCTCGTGTACTACTGTCAGGATATAGTGACATTTTTAACAAATGACAAGGAACGTTATTTTTTTATCAATGTTACCAACTATAGCTTTAAGTTTCTACTCAGAGACTCTATTTACCAAAAACAGTCTCTTGGCAGTTCGCGAAATAGTCACGAAATGCAATCGATTGGTTTTGTGTCCAGGGACACGATTGATTAAAAAAGAAAAAAGGTTATATTGGTTTATTCTGTCGGGACACTGCACATTAATAAAACCTTCCTGTGAATGCGCCAGAGTTAGCCAAGAGGCTATTTGTCATCTGTAGTCCCTGGACTATTACCAGCAGCTAAAGCTATTGAGTACAATTTCAAATTGGTTCTGGCCGATTTAAAAAGACCAGATAACCAACTCTGG